AGTTAATATAAGTCTCTATCAAGTATCATTGAAATCAGTTCAGATTTTGATATAGGTTATATATATATATATATATATGTCCCATTATAAGAAGCAACCCTATATCTGACCAAATGAAAAATTTAGTATAGGTTACAGAATGACATGTTTATTCATCTGTTGAATATACCCAAAGTGGTGAAGGGTATCATATAGTCGGCCCCGTCCGACTTTACTTCTTTCCTTACTGGTTTAGCTTTCAAAAGCCCGGAATACCAAATAACAAAAACTTCGTTGGGAAAAAGCGACTAAGCCCTTAAAAATATCGGACTGTGCCGTTATATGGGGGCTACGCCTGTTATATGGGTGGCGCTGTCCTGATAATACTATTTTCTTGCTATCCTCAAGTGTTCATGCTGAGTTTGGTTATTATAGAACGTAAGGGGGGTTCCTATAAATTTCACCTGTGGGAAGGAGGTGTAAACCTCTGTTTACAAATACCAAACATCTTAAGGGTAGCGAAGCCAACGAATGTGCAAAATATTATAGCTGTATCATAAATATTGCGATATCTATCTTTATTCCTATAGACGGACGGATGGGTATGCCAAAATCGATAAAGAATTTTTTTCTTATCGAGATTTCAACAAGTATACAAATATATGTGTTCGTTAAGTATTCGAAAGAAATAAATGAAAATCGATTTTCTATTTTTCAAAAAATTTTTATTCAATAAATTATAGTTCTTGTTCTTGTGATTTCTCTTCATTAGATTTTGTTTTTGGATTGGTTACAAACACAGTTTTCTTTTATTTTTGGTAAGTATCTACATACATATTAAATACATTCAAAATATAGTAATAATAATAACTTATATGAAAAAAATAATTTGATTATCATGTATTTATTTTGTTGTATATTTGTGGCATTAATAATAATATTGTTTATTATTTTGTTATTTTTTTAATTAAAAAATATACATAGAAAAGTAGGATATAAACAGAAAACAAAAGTCAAATCCAATAAATAGAAACAACGTATGCACTTAAGGAAGACTTTGGAAATTCTGTTTTGATGAGTAATCGGCTTTTTATATTTTTTTTTATACAAAGAAAATATAAAAAATATTCACATTCAAAAATAATATATATATATATATATATATATTTGCAATCAACTGAAAAAAGGAAATACATTCAATATATATTTATAAATAAAAAAATATATATAAATATGTAAACCAAATCAAGTTTGTATACATGTATTTCTTTTTGGAAGCAATTTTTTGTGTGGGTGTGTTTATTACGTATATATAAAAAAAGGAGAAAATACATATGTACATACATATTCACTTTCATGGGACTTCAGTTTAATTGAGCGTATTGACTTTGTATTTTTTAATGAGAAAGGAAAGTTACGAAACCTCTTTATATTAAAAAAAAAAAAAAAACAGTTTTGTGTTAAAAAATCATTTAAAATTTTTAAACATTTTTTAATATTTGAAAATATTTTACAGGCAAGGATACAAGACTACACATAGTACTGAATTCAATATCAAGCGAATGGAATGTCCGATTTAATCCAAATTGTACACATCGTAACATTTCATTCAAACTTAAATTATGTTTGAAGATGAGGAAAATCGGTCCTCTCCTTCTGGTACCTTCTCCACAAAATTGTCAAAATTGTGCTGAAAACAAATAACATGGATTAAAATTGCTCAACCTATTTTGACGCAATAAAATGTCAAATTTTGAATATTTATAGAAGACCTTAACAAAGGCGTAGATTTTTTTTTAAATATTTTTAGAAGCCCTCAACTTCGGGGTGTATTATTATGTCTTTGTGCAACAGGCAAAAGGAAACGATATAGACACCGAGTTCCTTTTGAGAATATCCATAGAATCACTTTCTGAAACGATTTATGTATGTCCTTCCGTCCGCCTGTAGGTCGCATTTATGTTCCGATTTGGATGAAATTTGACACAAGTTACTTATTTGGCCCAAAGACGAACCGTATTGAATTTGGTGAATATCGGTTCAGATTTAGATATAGCTCTCATATATATTTTCGTCCGATATAGACATCAAGGTCCCTATATATCTTTCGATTTGCACGAAATTTGGCATAGCGTACTGAATTAGGTCCAAAATGATGTGTTCTAAGTTTCGTGAAAATTGGTTCAGATATAACTCCCATATATATTTTCGTCCGATTTTAGGTAAATGGGGCACCAAAGTCCCCATATATCTTTCAATTTGCACGAAATTTGGGATAGCGTACCGAATTAGGTCCAGAATGATGTGTGCTAAGTTTGGAGAAAATCGAGTCAGATTTAGATGTAGCTCACGTATATATTTTCGTCCGATTTTAGGTAAATGGGGCACCAAAGTCCCCATATATCTTTTGATTTGCACGAAATTTGGCACAGGGTACTGAATTAGGTCCAGAATTATGTGTGCTAAGTTTCGTGAAAATCGGTTCAGATATAGATATAGCTCCCATATATATTTTCGTCCGATTTTATGGAAATGGTGCACCAAAGTCCCGATATATCTTTCGATTTGTCTGAAATTTGGTATAGCGCACTGTATTGAGCCTTGAATTACATATATTAGGTTTCGTTGAAAATCGGTTCAGATTTAGATATTGCTCCCAATATATATATATATATATATTTTATGTAAATGGTTCACCAAAGTCCCCATATATCTTTCGATTTGCACGAAATTTGGCATATTGTATTGAATTAAGCCTAGAATGTTGTGTGTTAAGTTTCGTGAAAATCGGTTCAGATTTAGATATTGCTTCCAATATATATTTTCGTCCGATTTTATGTAAATGGTGCACCAAAGTCCCTATATATCATTCGATTTTCACAAAATTGAGCATGGCGTACTAAATTAAGTCTAGAATGATGTGTGTTAAGTTTCGAGAATATCGGTTCAGATATAGATATAGGTCACACATATATATTTTCGTCCGATTTTAGGTAAATGGTGCAACAAACTCCTAATGTTTGTCCGATTGGCAAAAAAAAATTGCACAACGAACCATATATATTTCGAACGGGTGTCTGATTGAGCAATCCATTTTGCTATAAATCGATTTCCATAAATTTGTCCCATTGTACGCAAACGATTCTAAATCTCCCCGATTGAAATTAACTTAGCGGTGTTAGAAAAAGTACATGTTTGGCTCTCGTATGAACTAGGATTATTGACTTCGCTCTAAAATTAACAAAATGGCGGACCTTTGAAAAAATATTTTTGGAAAATCGCCGATTTTTTACCAAAAACCAAGTTAAAAAATAAGGAAGATATTCACCGATTGGCTTTATCCTAGTTCATACGATAGCTATACACTCACAGAGAAACGTGTAAAAATTTGAACATTAACGTGCCCATAGCAAAAGAGAAAACGCGTTTAAAGTTTGAGAAGCCCTTTAGCCGTCACTTGATGCTGACACAATAAATCGGCTATATCTTCAAGAGTTCTCGAGATTTTCAATTAAAATTTTGTAGAGACATTCTTGAATTAGTGTAGAATCGAATTAAATCAAAAAAAAAAAAAAATTTTGACACAAGTTGATACAATATACATAAAGTGGTGAAGGGTATCATATAGTCGACCCAGTCCGACTTTACTACTTTCCTTACTGGTTAAATATATTTGTTAGAGGACCTTGGCAAAACCGATTTAAATCATTATTTGTACAGTGGGTGTAGACATTGTTCCTTGTCTAAAAAAGTATCCATCTCACCGTTTTAACACAAAACATGTCTTAATATTTTTTTTTTAAGAACATTTAAAAAATATATTTGAAATTAAAAAAAAATATATTTTGAAAATTTGTACATTTCTAGAAAAACTGTACTGTACGAAATTTAGTAGAAATAGTTTATATGTTTCTTTTTTTCCCTTTTCAATGTATATGTATAAGTTACATACTAAATATATATTTTTTTAATTTTTTTTTCATTTAATTATTTGACATTATTTAAATTAAGCTTTGTTTTGTTATTAATAACATAAATACTTTGTTCGTTTAACTTTGGTATTGTTATTTTTTTAATTTTTATTATATATATTATATTTTTTTATTGTTATACTTAATAATATTATAGCAAGTAAAAACTATATCGTTTTTATATGATTGAAAAAATTTTATTGATTTTGTTTTTAAATATTTGCAGTAAAATTTAATTTATTTTTTTGGATCCACAATGTTGCATAGTTTTTTTGTTTGTTTGTATGTTGTATAATTAATTATTTATTTTTGTTTAACAATAATGATACAATTGAATAATTATTGTTTCTGTTTTTGTATAATTATAGTTTCATATTTTATTTTTTAAATGGCATTATAAACATAAAAATATATATAAATGTATAATTTAACTAAGGGGTCAGAGGCCAACAAATGACGGCATTTGAGAGGCCAACATATTTTATTCAACCCATTAAACACCTCATTGTTTGTCTTCCCCATGCATTGTTTTTTTTTCAAATCATTTAGCATTTAATTCAATTTTTTTATATTGTTTATATTTAATTGATTAATTATTCATATTACCAATTTCAATTTATTTTATATTTTTTGGTTTTAAATTAAATTTGATTTAATTTTTGATTATCAGGCTTAATGTTCAATATATTATTTTTACAACTTTATAAGATTTTGTTTTGTAATTTTTTTTAATAATATTAAATTTTTTTATATAAATTAAGCAAAAAAATCAAATATTTTGTAAAAATTATTTTACAAAAAAATAATTACTTTATTTATTATTTTGGGGCTATGTTTTTTCTTGGAAACCTTATTTTATATAAAAAAATTAACATTTGTGTATTTCTTACAGCAAGGCCTACTTTCCTTAATAATTGTTTGTTCCATTTCTTTGTTGTTGTTGTTAGTTGTTTGGTTCCTGTATTCATACTTTCTTTAATTTTTGTTCCATAATTATATATTTATTATTGTTGTTTTTATTGTGGGGCTTTTTCGGTTCATCTCTTCCTGTTTTGCTTTTGTTTTCTTTTTTATTTACAAAACTTGCAGATTTTCACAATTTTTAAATTTGGAATCCTCTTTGCCCAGCAGCCATGTTAACATTTGACGCGCCTTCATGCTGGCCATCATCACACTGCGACTCTTATACCAATGGGCCGGTGAGGGGGAGGTGTCACGATTACCCTAAGGGAATAGGGAAAAAGGGAGAGAAAAACAAAATATATTAATTTTAGAATTTAAATGTATATAAATAAAATAAAAAGTAAATATTTTAGAGAGGTCGTTCAAAGCCCCATCGGAACCATTTTTATCTAAACAATCATCAGTCTAAGGACAGATATTTTTCTATAAACATAGCAATAAGGTGATCCATTAATAAACAACATTTTTTTTATAAAAAACAAATTCCAATCCCATCTACCGATTTTTTGTTAAACCTTTCAGTGTCAAAAAAAATTTTTGCCGGAATAAAAATTTCATCTGTCTTTCAGCAAAAACAAAAACATCAATAGTAACGGTACATAGGATAACCGAAAAATCGCCCCCATTCTCGTGGTCAAATTTTTATTTTTTTCGATTCTACACTAATTCAAGAATGTCTCTACAAAATTTCAAGTGAAAATCTCAAGAACTCTTGAAGATATAGCCGATTTATTGTGTCAGCATCAAGTGACGGCTAAAAACTTTTAACGCGTTTTTCTCTTTTGCGAATGGCGGGCACGATAACTCAAAAACTAATAACCCAATCGATTTCAAATTTTTACACGTTTCTCTGTGAGTGTAGAGCTATCGTATGAACTAGGATAAAGCCAATCGGTGAAGATCTTCCTTATTTTTTAACTTGATTTTTGGTAAAAAATCGGCGATTTTTCAAAAATATTTTTTCAAAGGTCCGCCATTTTGTTAATTTTAGAGCGAAGTCAATAATCCTAGTTCATACGAGAAACATGTACTCTCTCTAACACCGTTGGAATTTTCGGATTCCGATGTTCAAGTGAGGAGTTATCATGCCCGCCATCAAAAATAAGGACTTTTCTTTAATTACAAAAAACAACAACATAACAAAATTTTTTTGTAAATTATTTACAAACCTTAATAACCATTGGTATTGATTTACCAGCCCATTGAAAATCTTGAAAAATTAAAATCGAGAATGGGTGGGGTTCCCTTAAATGTCGGATATATTCGACAAAAACACTGAAAGGGTTAAAAAGATCTCATCCTCTATGGCTGAGCCATTTTTCTATAAAAATCGATTTTTAGTCACTGTGGTCTTTTTTATATAGAAAATAAATTCCCAACAGGGCGTGGGTTTTAAAAAAATATATATTTCTCGGAGGCCTCAGCAAAGGCGTGGATTTAAAAAAAAATTAGAAGACCTCAGAAAATGCGTAATTTTTGGAGGTATATTTTTCTATAGAAACAAATCAGACTATAAGGGCAGAGGTATTTTTTGTAGAATCTCAAAGATTCAGGTATATTTTTTTTAAATGAAAAAAAAAACGGACTTCAATTACAGGTATTTTCTTCCAAAGGAGAAAATCGGGCTCAGTTTCTGAGGTATCTTCTCAGCGACTAATTTTTTTTCTATAGCAAAATTGGTCTATAGAAAAATATCAAATCTCAGTTTTTCAATGGAAAAAAATCAGACCTCAGTTACTGAGGTATTTTTTCAATAGAAACCAGTAGGGAATGTAGTAAAGTCGGACGAGGTCGACTGTATGTAAATCGAAATCGACTGTATGTGAATCGATTTCAAACAAATATCAATAGGACATCCGTTGGGCTATGTCTGTAATTCTAGTAAACGAATCTACGATATTCTATGATAAATATTGTACGTTGTGCAGAATTTCATGTCAATCTGACAAACATGAGGAGTTTGGAAAATCGGACAAAAATATATATGGAAGCTAAACCCAAATATGAACCGATTTCAACGAAACTTGTCACAGGTTATGTTATACTAATTTCAGTACGTTTTGTTCCTATCAGCCACATATTGGTTCCTTATTGCGTGAATTACTTAAAATCAATCGATAGAGTGCTATATCTGAATCTCAACCGATTTTCATGAAACTTGGCATACATCATTCTGGACTAAATTCAGCACGATATATGAAATTTCGTGCAAATCGAAAGATATATAGGGACTTTGGTTCACCTTTTACATAAAATCGGACGAAACTTTATATGGGAGCTATATCTAAATCTGGACAAATGTTCACGAAACTTGGCAGATGTCCCTCAATTCAGTACGTTTTGCCAAATATCGTGCAAATCGAAAGAGATATAGGTACTTCGGTGCACCATTTACACTAAATTGGACGAAATTATATATGGGAGCTATATCTAAATCTGAACCGATTTCCATGAAACTTAGCACACATCATTCTATATGTAAAGTATTACGCTATACCAAGTATCGTGCAAATCGACACATATATGGGGACTTTGGTACACAATTTACATTAAAATCTGTATCTAAATCTGAACCGATTTTTCCGAAACTTAGCAATCATCATTATATACTCAATTCATTACGTTATGCCAAATTTCGTGCAAATCGAAAGATATATAGGGACTTTGGTGCACAATTTACCTTAAATCGGACGACATTAAATATGGGACCTATATGAAAATCTGAACCGATTTTTCCCAATTTCAATAGGGTTCGTCCTTGGACCAAATAAATGAGCTGTGCCAAATTTCATATAATTCGAATCATAAATGCGACCTGTAATTTATTTACAAGTTGTCATGGACAGACTGACGGACATGCATAAATCAACTCAGAATGTGATTCTATGCATATTCTCAAAAGGAACCCTGTGTCTATCTCGTTTCCGTTTGCCTGTTACAAACATATGCACAAAGACATAATACCCTGTACTACAGTGTGGTGGATGGTATAAAAATCAGACCTCAGTCACTGATTTTTTTTGCAGAAAAAATGTGAAGCATATAGAAAAATCACTTGTTACAGATATCCAATATCCTCAAATGATATTGTGGGAAACCCCCTCTGTTACAGAGGACAACTATTTTTCAGTGGCATTAAAATATTCTCAGCTATTGAGGAACCATGTTTTCTATGGAAATTCTCAGTTGTTAGAAAGAATTTTTTTATAGAAAAATTGTTTTTTTTTACAATGACAATTTTTCCTTCGTGGAAAAAGTTGTCATGATACTGATGACAATTTTTTAAAGAAAAAATCGGCTACTGTAGGTAATTTTCTGCTACTGAGGACCATTTTTCTTAAAAAAAAAACCGTGACAATTTATTTCTATAGACAAATATATCCTCAATGGCTCGGAGTTTTTATGAAAAATATAAGTACTAAGGATATTTTCAATAGATTTTTTTTGATGCAATGGAAAAACTAATCCTTTTTCTTCAATACAAAAAAATCTGTAGAGGAATTTTCTGTAAGAAAAAAATTTGCTAAGAAAAAATTGTTATTCAAGAATTAATAGTGGCTTTCTCGACCTCTGTATATATTAAAGTTAAAAAAATTATAATTTTCTTCTATATTATTGTATAATTAGTCAAATTAAATTCAAATCTATTTTTTTCAATAAAAATACAACTAATTAAATTTATAAAAAATGTAAACATATAATTTATGTACAGCGGAGTGGGGAAAAACATTGTGTGCTCAATTTACTCAATATATGTATGCATGAATATAATTGAATATATAATTTAATTAAAAATACATTACTCAAACTACATACAATGAGATGCCTAATAATAAAAATGGAAAAAAGAAACGTAGTGGACTACATATATTTATATTCAATACAAAAAAATCTCAAAAAAAAAAAAAAAAAATAATTGTGAAATTGAAAAAAAATTATAACTGTTCTTTTTTTATTCAATCAATCGAAAGTGAAAAAAAATTGATAAGTACGCATATCAAGTGCTATTGACCTGAATTATGAACGCTTATGAGGGTAGATAAACTGCTGACTTGCAAATACAAAAATAAAAAAGTAATAGAAAGGTTATGGTGCCAAAGGTTGAATGTCTTGCAGGAAAGTGTGCGTTCGGTGTGTGTGTGTGTGAGTGCGAGTGTTTGAGAACAACACTTAGAATGCCATTAACCAGATATTCAAGTAGGACTGACCATTTCAATGATGACCTGACATTTGAGAACATTTTTTCCTATTGTTTATTTTTCGTTTTTTTTTTATTTGCCTAAGGATAGATTCTTTATGTGGGTGAAATGAAATGTTTAAGAATAATATTTGCAAACAAAAAATTAAATAAGGAAACTGATTTAGGGAATTTAGAAAGGGTCTTAAAGGATATGAAATCGAAGCTTCTAAGACTTAGAAATTTCGCCTTAAAAAAACTTGACATTGTGGATCGCTTTATTTCCTATGGTATCACAATAGACGAAGTTTTTTTTACAGAAAAAATAATTGTTAGTGATGGTAATTTTTCGACAGGGAACATTTACTGCTAAAAATTCCCCAGTCCACTAGGACTGAATGAGAATTTTTTGTATTAAACAAATTCTCATGTGGCGAGCACCATTTTTAATAGGAACAAATGCTAATGATTTTTACAGAGGACAAGTGTTTTTAATGTTTTTATATAGGGAAAAATATGTCTTTTCATTTTCAATAGTAAAAAATTCTTTGTCAGTGACTCTATATTTCTTCAATGAATAAAAAATGTCCTAGTCTGTCAGGATGATTTTTTTTGTCCATAAGGTCATGGCAAGGATACCAATTTTTTAATGTAAATGATAATTTTTATACCCTTCACCACACTGTGGTACAGGGTATTATGTATGTTATGTTTCTTACAGGCAAAAATAATCGAGTTAGACCCATGGTTCCTTTTGAGAATAGGCATAGAATCACTTTTTGAGTCGATTTATGCATGTCCGTCTGTCCGTCCGTCCATGTATTTTTGTGAACAAAGTACAGGTCACATTTATGATCCGATTTAGATGAAATTTGGCACAGGTCACTTATTTGGCCCAAGGAAGAACCCTATTGAAATTGGGAAAAATCGGTTCAGATTTAGATATAGCTCCCAAATATATTTTCGTCCGATTTTAGGTAAATGGTGTACTAAAGTCCACATATATATTCTTCGATTTGCACGAAATTTGGCACAGCGTACTGAATTAAGCCTAGAACGATGTGTGTTAAATTTCCTGAAAATCGGTTCAGATGTAGATTTAGCTGCCATATATAATTTCGTCCGATTTCAGGTAAATAGTGCAACAAGGACCTATATATCCTTCGATTTGCACAAAATTTTGCATAGCGTACCGAATTAAGTCTATAATGATGTATGCTAAGTTTCGTGAAAATCAGTTCAGATTTAGATATAGCTCCCATATATTTTCTCGTCCGATTTAAGGTAAATGGGACCCCAAAGTCCCTATATTTTCGATTTGCATGAAATTTGACATTGCGTACTGAATTAAGCCTAGAACGACGTGTGTTAAATTTCCTGGAAATCGGTCCAGATTTAGATATAGCTCCCATATATATTTTCGTCTGATTTAAGGTAAATGGTGCGCCAAAGTCCCTAAATATCTTTCGATCTGAACGAAATTTGGCACAGCGTAATTAATTAGGTCTAGAATGATGTGTGTTAAGTTTCCTGAAAATCGGTTCAGATTTAGATATAGCTCCCATATATATTTTCGTCCGATTTTATGTAAATGGTGCACCAAAGTCCCTATATATCTTTCGATTTGCATAAATTTTGGTATAGGGTACTGAATTAAGTCTAGAATGATGTTGCTAAGTTTTGTGAAAAGATCCATAGCTAGGCCGATTGGCACAACGTACTGAGGTAATATAAACCAGTGAGCGAAGCAGTATAGTCGGACGGGGCCGACCATATGATACCCTACACAACTTCCACGAAAATCTAACTTTCTGTGGCACTACATTCTGAGCTATGGTAATATTTCGCAATATTTGTACCCTTTTGACCGACTAGAGGTCAACAAATCACCGTGGGTTGTGTTGTGATGTTCGGCTTTCAATTAAGTTTTCGGTCCATTTCATCTCAATATTATTATCTGATCATCGACGAAAATTATAGACGTTGTCCTTGACCATACCTGGATACTAATGGAAAATTTCAAAGCGATGAGCGCTATATTTCCGCCCTCTAGTGTGGTAATGGGTTACTAAATAATATATTAATACCTAAGCACATGTACATATTTAAGTGTAACTCCCACATCCGAGTACATAAGACATTATAATTGGTATCAATTTAAAGGATACCACGCCTCTTGGATATACTATCAACCTCTCAGGTCTATGTCCGACAGGGGTAAATCTATACGCTATATGATACAAAATTTGTAATTTTTCACACAAAAGTCAGGGTCCATTTGACCCGCTAAATATTGACCAATCTTTATCAAAACAGACATGCTTATTCTTCGGCCCGATCCCCTTCTCCATGCAAAAAATACGCTGTGTTTGGGTCATAATTTCGGCCTCTGGGGTGACCAGAAATACCGACAAGAATAAAGTTTTGGTCCATTTCATCCCCTAAATATTAACCGATCTTTACCAAAAACAATAGGGGTCTTCATTGGCCAGAAGCAATCCTACATGCAAAATTTCGTGAAGATTGGTCCATAACTGTGGCCTGTATCGTGTTTACAAATTATAATGGACAGACGGACGGACGGACACACATGTCTAGATCTACTCAGCTAGTAGAGATATGACGATCGGTATACTTAAAGGTGGGTGGGTCTAGGACCAATATTTCGCGGCGTTACAAACTCTTGGGGCTGCACAACGCTATAATACCCTGACAACATGGTTGTGTAGGGTATAATTAGTCTCTGGCAAGTTTCCCTGAAATCGGTTCAGATATATTCTACATATGTTAGGATATATATGTAGAATATACCCCAAGTGGTGACGGGTATCGTATACTCGGCCCAGTCCGACTTTATTACTTTTCTTACTGGTTTTCTATAGAAAAATGTTCTTCGTTGTATAAAAAAATTCACTTTTCTAAAAAAATCTCGGTTACTAAGGACCAGTCTTTTATGAAAATAATCCTCGACTACTTCATTAGTTTTTTTCATGGCAAAAACATTAATTTTATGAGGATCTTATGAAAAAATCTCCGGCTTGGAATAAAATAAAAAATTGTTGCATTTTTTTAATAAATTAATAAAATAAATAAAATAATAAGTAAATTAAAGTGATACACATATTTTTTACATAAATAAAATTAATACATAATGAACATGAAGAGTATAATAAAAAGTTCGAATAAAACCATCTATGGATTTGGGGATCAATAAATACACTCATTTAAGTGGGGTTGTATCATTTTTTTTTTTATAAATATATTATCATAAGGGATATCGTTATATTGCAATAAATATATTTGTATTAAATATTTTACATAGTATTTTACAATTGTAGGGAATAATACTTTTAAATGAATTCCGTGGAGGAAAATCTTTTAAAACTTTCGAAAAGTAACTATTTAAAATTAGTGATTTCATTTGGGGAAATTAAAGGTTATAATAAACAAAATTGTGGCATACTTTTAGGGGTGTCAATTAAAAAAATACGTTCTTGGAGGAGAAGTAAATATTTGGATTGACATCAATATATCATGAGGGAATAAACTATGTATCTTTAAAATTTGGGGAATTTTTAATATATATGTAAATAGGAAACAATCTCTTTGTTATTATATATCAGGGACCATCTATTTTTGTTGTTGTTGTATTTCTCATTTACTCACCATATTTACTTCAGAATTTTTATCATTCAATGATTTTTCGCCTTGGTCATTATTTTCATGATTATTTCTATTGTCACAATTCGTGTTATTGTGTTTATCTTTTGATTTATTTTTGGATTTTTTCGATTTTGGCTAAAGTGATAAAGTAATGTGGATGGAGAAATTAAAAATTAAAAACGATGATATTTTTAATATATAAAAAAATAATAGTTTTAAAAAATCAAGAAAAATTGAACAAAAGAAATAAAAATCAAAATCATTTTTTTAACATTTAAAGCCAATTCAACTACTTGATGGGTGAAATGTGATTATTTTTTGTTAAGTTTTTTTAAGCACAATGAAATAATGCATTTTTTATAGCACGTTTTGTGTGTGTTAGATTTTGTCTTTTGTTTTTTTTTTTATAGAATTTTGAAACAATTTTTTAAAATCCTCTTTGAAAGCAACTGAAAATCCATTTGACATTTAAGTTTTTTAGATTATCTTACCTGTATGCGATTTTGTTCCTTTTTCAAGCGTATCTGAGTCAGTGTACCCGCCAGTAATTCATCACAGTTGTGATTAATGCCCACCGAAACTTCAATGAATTTCGCTCCATACGTACAGGCCACACATTTACCATCTGAAAGGGGAAGAGGTATGGTGAATTAATTCAAAAGTGAACAATAAGAAAATTACAAAAGTCGGACATAGTCCCCCGTCCGATGATATCCTTTATCATTTTGGGTATAAACAAGAAATTCTCCTAAAATTGTAACAGACGGACGTAGCTTAACATTAAAAAAAGTAATTTTTCCAAGTAATTATACCCTACACAACTATGTTGTCAGGGTATTATAGCTTTGGGCAGCCCCAAAAGTTTGTAACGCCGCGAAATATTGGTCCTAGACCCACCTTTAAGTATACCGATCGTCATATCTCGACTATCTGAGTCGATCTAGACATGTGTGTCCGTCCGCCCGTCCGTCCATTATAATTTGTAAACACGATACAGGCCACAGTTATGGACCAATCTTCATGTTTTTCATGTAGGATGGGTTCTGGCTAATGAAGACCCCTATTGTAAAGATCGGTTAATATTTAGGGGATGAAATGGACCAAATACTAAATTTTTGTCTATTTTTCTGGCCGCTCCAGAGGCCGCAATTATGGCCCGAACATCATGAAATTTTACATGGAGAAGGCGATCGGGGCAAAGAACAAGCCTGCATGTTTTGATAAAGATCGGTCAACATTTAGCGGGTCAAATGGACCCCGACTTTTGTGTGAAAAATGACAAAATTTGTATTCTATAGCGTATATAATTACTCCTGAAGGACATAGACCCGATATGTTGATAGTATATCCATGAGGAGGGGCTGACCTTTAAATTGGTACCAATTATGTTGTCGTATGTACTCGGATGTGGGAGTTACATTTAAATATTTACAGGTGCTTACGTACTCAGATATTATTTAGTAACCCATTATCACACTAAAGGGTGGAAATATAGCGCTGATCGCTTATAAATTTTCTATGAGGTTCCAGTTATGGTCAAGGACGACGCCTTTAACTTCCGGTGATGATCAGATTATAATTATGGGATGAAGTGGACCGAATACTTATTTTTTTATGTTTTCCCACGGTGAAGGGAATCTGGACAATTAATTAAAAGCGCTGTACTGAATATTGGTAATATTCGGAAAATATGTCAGTGTAAGGAAGAAGTGCTATTGACCTCTAATCGCTACCAAAATTCGTGCAAATCGAAAGACATATAGGGACTTTGGTACACCAATTACATAAAATCGGACGAAAATATATATGGGAGCTATATCTAAATCTTAAGGGAACCCCCCCATTCTCGATTTTAATTTTTCAAGATTTTCAATGGGCTGGTAAATGAATACAAATGCTTGTTAAGGTTTGTAACTTTGCACATATATAATTGAAGATTTAAAAGAGAAGAAAAATAATTTACAAAAAAATTTTGTTATTGTTTTGTTGTTGTTTTTTGTAATTAAAGAAAAATCCTTATTTTTGATGGCGGGCACGATAACTCCTCACTGGAACATCGGAATCCGAAAATTCCAACCGCGTTAGAAAGAGTACATGTCTGGCTCTCGTATGAACTAGGATTATTGACATCGCTCTAAAATTAACAAAATGGTGGACCTTTGAAAAAATATTTTTGGAAAATCGCCGATTTTTTACCAAATACCAAGTTAAAAAATAAGGAAGATCTTCACCGATTGGCTTTATCCTAGTTCATACGAGAGCTATACACTCCCAGAGAAACGTTGCAAAATTTGGAACCGATTGGATTATTAGTTTTTGAGTTATCGTGCCCGCCATTCGCAAAAAAATGTTTAGAGAAAAACGCGTTTAAAGTTTGAGAAGCCCTTCAGCCGTCACTTGATGCTGACACAATAAATCGGCTATATCTTCAAGAGTTCTTGAGATTTTCACTTGAAATTTTGTAGAGACATTCTTTAATCAGTGTAGATTCGAATTATATCAACAAAAATTTTGACCCCGAGAATGGGGGGTCCCCTTAAGCAATTTTCACGAAACTTAGTGCACGTCATTCTAGCCTTAATTAATTACGCTGTGCCAAATTTCGTGCAGATCGAAAGATATTTAGGGACTTTTGCGCACCATTTACCTTAAATCGGACGAAAATATATATGGAAGCTATATCTAAATCTGAACCGATTTTCACGAAACTTTGCACACATTCTTATAGACGCAATTCAGTACGCTATGCCAAATTTCGTGTAAATCGAAAGATACATAGGGTCTTTGGTGCACCATTTACATAAAATCGGACGAAAATATATATGGGAGCTATATCTAAATCTGAACCGATTTTCAGGAAACTTAACACACATCATTATATACCTAATTAATTACGCTGTGCCAAATTTCGTGCAGATCGAAATATATTTAGGGACTTTGGCTCACCATTTACCTTAAATCGGACGAAAATATATATGTGGGAGCTTTATCTAAATCTGGACCGATTTCCAGGAAACTTAACACACATCATTCTAGACATATTTCATTACGCTATGCCAAATGTCGTACAAATTGAAATATATATAGGGACATTGGTACACTATTTACATTAAATCGGACGAAAAGATATATGGGAGCTATATCTAAATCTGAACCGATTTTTCCCAATTTCAATAGGGTTCGTCCTTAGACCAAATAAGTGACCTATTCCAAATTTCATCCATAAATATTCATAAATGCGACCTGTACTTTGTTTACAATTTAACATGGTCAGGCAGACGGGCGGACGGACGGACGGACATACATAAATCGACTTAAAAAGTGATTCTTAATCGACTTAAAAAGTGATTCGTTTCCTTTTGCCTGTTACAAACATATGCACAAAGACATAATACCCTGTACCAGTGTGGTGCAGGGTATAAAAAAATCCGAAAATGCGGGACAAATTCAAAGATACCGCTTCTACAATCGGAATATCTGACTAAAAACTAAACAATATACTGACGATTAGGCGCTACCCTTGTATGGACATGGACCACATTGATAATGTTATGTAAATATGTATGTCAGCCTTCAAGATAATTTCTGATAATGTTATATGGGTTCTACCCATAACAAGTGGACCAATATTGATAATTTTTATACCCTCAGCCTTATGGCTAATGATACAAGTTGATACGACAAACAAATGTGCTTCATCGAAGTAATGGTGTTAGACCCCATGTTTCTTTGGACCAGATCCGTTTTTTCGGGTAGCCCCATATAGAGGCACCCTCATTATTTGGGGGAGGGTTTGCGTGCCTTTTTCAACCGAATCCTGCCACAGCTCATCTGTTTAGCCCAAGAACGAACCCTATTGAAATTGTGACTTTACTACTTTCATTACTGGTTTATATTAAAATAGTTAACTGATTTCTTACGCGTTTTGGGATTGTCTGTCTATAGACGTATTCCACCATAGTGTAGGCGATATATTATACCCTACAAAGTATGGAATTTTAAGACGATTTAGCCATATGTTCTAATCATTCTACTTACAGAGGGTATCGAGATAAAAACATTGTTAGGTTCCTTATATAATGATACCTACCGGTTTTCGGTATTTTTAATATTTAGCGTGAAATTACAGTATTTTGAGGATTTTATACACATGTTCCGCCCTACCATGCGTTGTCAATATCGACCTGTGTTTTGGGGTTTTGAAATTTGTATGGTTTACAACAATCACTTGGTACAATTGTCGGTATATTTTTATGGTATGTTCCCTATATTTTCATTTCAAGTAACTATCCGTGTAACTATGGTGGAGGGTATACAAAGTTCGGCCCGGTAGAAATTAAGGCATTCTATACCCTTCACCACACTGTGGTACTGGGTATTATGTCTTTGTGCATATGTTTGTAACAGGAAAAAGGAAACGAGATAGACACACGGTTCCTTTTGAGAATATGCATAGAATCACTTTCTGAGTCGATTTATGTATGTCCGTCCGTCCGTCTGTCCGTCTGTAGATGTTAAATTCTAAACAAACTACAGGTCGCATTTATAATCCGATTTGGATGAAATTTGGCACAAGTCACTTATTTGGCCCAAGGACGAACCCTATTGAAATTGGGAAAAATCGGTTCAGATTTAGATATAGCTCCGATATATATTTTCGTCCGATTTAAGGTAAAAGGGCACCAAAGTCCCTCTATATATTTCGATTTGCATGAAATTTGGCACAGAGTACTGAATTAAGTCTAGAATGATGTCTGCCAAATTTCGAGAAAATCGGTTCAGATTTAGATATAGCTCCCATATATAGTTTCGTCCGATTTAAGGTAAATGGGGCACCATAGTCCCTCTATATCTTTCGATTTGCATGAAATTTGGCACAGCGTACTGAATTAGGTCTAGAAAGATGTGTGTTAAATTTCCTGAAAATCGGTCCAGATTTAGATATAGCTCCCATATATATTTTCGTCCGATTTAATGAAAATGGTGTACCAAAGTCCCCATATATCTTTCGGTTTGTACGAAATTTGGCATAGCATAATGAATCAGGTCGAGAATGATGTGTGTTAAGTTTCCAGAAAATCGGTCCAGATTTATATATAGCTCCCAAATATAGTTTCGCCCGATTTAATGTAAATGGTCCACCAAATACCTTATATATCTTTCGATTTGCACGAAATTTGGCACAGCGTAATGAATTAAGTCTAGAATGATGTGTGTTAAGTTTCCTGAAAATCGGTCCAGATTTGGATATAGCTTCCATATATATTTTCCTCCGATTTAATGTAAATGTTGCACCAAAGTCCCTACATATCTTTCGATTTGCATGAAATTTGGCACAAATTTGGTACTGAATTAAATCTAGAATGATGTCTGCCAAATTTGTGAAAATCGGCCCAGATTTAGATATAGCTCCCATATATAGTCTCTTCCGATTTCATGTAAATGGCGCACCAAAGTCCTTACATATCTTTCGATTTGTACGAAATTTTGCATAACGCACTGAATTGAGCCTAGAATGATGTCTGCCAAGTTTCATGAAAATCGGTCCAGATTTAGATATAGCTCACATATATAGTTTCGTCCGATTTCATGTAAATGGTGCACCAAAGTTCCTATATATCTTTCCATTTGCACGAAATATGACATGACGTATTGATTTGAGCGTAGAGCGATGTCTGCCAAGTTTCAGATATATATATATATATATATATATATATATATATATATTTTCGTCCGATTTAATTTAAATAATGTGCCAAAGTTCTTATGTTGCATGGCGTACTGAATTTAGTCCAAAATTTTTTGTGCCAAGTTTCGTAAAAATCGGTTGGGATTTAGATATAGCTGATATGAAGTAATTGACGCACCAAGAAACCAATATATGGCTAATAGGAACTAAACGTACCGAAATTAGTATAACTTAACCTGTGACCTTAACCTGTGTATAGCTTCTATATATATTTTCGTCCGATTTTAAGTAAATTGTACATCAAACTCCTCATGTTTGTCAGATTGACATACAATTTTGCACAACGTACAAAATTGAGTCTAGAACAACGTAGTTACGTTTTCTAGAAGTACAGACATAGCCCAACGGATGACCTATTGTTATTTGTTTGAAGTCGATTTTCATACTTTTGTCCCGAACGAATGACATGTTTATGGATAGATCTAGTCCGATTCACATTTAGATAAATATCACATATTTTATTTCATCCAACTTCATGTTAATAATGCTATTTTATGTACCCATAGTGGTGAAGGGTATCATATAGTCGGCCCCGTCCGCTTTTACTACTTTCCTTACTGGTTTAACTTGTTTTTATTCTTTTGGTAGTCCATTCGAAGTTCTCCATTCCTAATTCTCATAATTAATTCAGTATATTTATTATTCCCTCCCAAACAAAAAATCTGCACACAATTATATATATTTATTAGTCTAATTATTTCATAATTAATAATTATTTTCTTGGCTCATTATGCATAACCAAAAAAATGTTGTCTCCTCTCTTCACTTCATTGAAGAATACCAATGGAATATTCTGAGATTTATTTATTATCTTAAATAATTCAAGCATCTTTTTTCAACATTCTTCCTCCTGCTTCTTCTTCTTCTTTTGACTTACCTTGGGCTGATACGGCACGTGACCGCGCCAAATCAATTTTATTTGCCACCAATATAATTGGCCGGGTCCTAATTAAATCCATGTCTTGCAGATGGGCAAGAATATTTTTGGCGCGTGTAAATGATTCCTTATCGACACAGGAGTAGACAACCAAGAAGGCATCGGCTTTTTCCAATTCGTCCTTTTTGGATTGTTGCATAATATGTTGGTGTTGTCGTTGTAGTTGTTTGTGGTGATGGTGTCGAAGGCGGAGGTGATTTTCGTCAACGGAAATGATTTTGGGGAAAAGAAATTTTTTTGTAAGAAAACAAAGAAAAATACAAGAAGAGAAATTAGAAAATAATTAAGTTATTGTCAACAAAAGCATTTTTCGGCAGGATATTAATTTGCAGCCAGCTCCCCCTAAGGATAAATCGTTTTGTGCCTTTTCTTTGGGCTATTCGCGTGCAATTGTCATTTGCGGAGATGTTCAGGGCTCAGTTGTTATTTTCGTGGCCAGTCATTTGTCTTTCGATTTTATATCGGGTTTGTGGTTTGGGTTGCAATTTGTTAATGGTAATAAATTATGTGGGGTTCTTTTTGAATTAAATTTACAAGTTTTTGGTCATTTAGATGAAAAAAGTATTGGGAAAAGGAAATTTTGGTGGTTGCCAAAGGACAAGAATTCGGGAAAGTGCAAAAAAATAGTTTTTAAAGAATGCAGACTTGTGTTGATCTTTGAAAAATATGCTTTTAAAAAAACCACGTCACTAATGGTCTCGGAAAAAATATTTTTTAAAAATCTACACCTGAAACAAATATTTGTTTTCAAAAAAACACCCCTTTTTAAAACCCATATCTGTTTGGTACTTAAAAAAATATTTTCGTTAAGAAACAAACCTTTTTGGTACTTGAAAAAAATATTTTTGTTTTATAAAATCCGTTTAATCCACGCAAGTTTGTTACTTTAAAAATATTTTTTTTTTAAATTCACCCTTCTATCGATTCGTGAAAAATATTTTTTTTTAAATTCACCCTTCTATCGATCCTGAAAAATATTTTTTAAAAAAGTGTATCCTACCATTCTGCAGTGACACTTTGGTTTTACGTGTCGCCAACTATTTTCATATTCATGTTCTATGATTTTTCATTTATTTTGATTACCGGTAAACGAAAAAAACCAAATGGATTCATGAACAAAAAATTGAAATTATTATTATTTTCTTTCCGATTATATGGTCACGATTTAATTTTGTGTGCGTGTGTGTGTTTGCTGTTCTTTTGCGAGCAATGAACAGAGAGACAATCCCCCATGAAGAAAAATTACAATTGGCTATGAGCCAAATGCGAAAAATGTTCACAGAAAAACAAATAATGGACATCAGAGGACGATAGCTGACAACGAAAACACAACACACAAAAAAAAAAAAAAAATTAAAATAAAAACCAGTAAGGAAAGTAGTAAAATCGGACTGGGCCGATTATTTGATACCCTTCACAACTTTGGGTATATTCTACATATGTATCCTAACAGATGTCGCGTGTTTGTTATATATGTATATCTGAACCGATTTCAGGGAAACTTGCAGAGACTAATTTATATTACTTCAGTACGTTGTGTCAATCGGCCTAGCTATAGATCATTTCACGAAGCTTTGCAACATCATTCTTGACTTAATTCAGTACCCTATACCAACATTCGAGCAAATCGAAATATATATAGGGACTTTTGTGCACCGATTACTTAAAATCGGATGAAAATATATATGGGAGCTATATCTACATCTGAACCGATTTTCACGAAAATTAGCGCACATTATAATAGTCTTAATTCAGTACGCTGTGCCAAATTTCTTGAAAATCTAAAGATATATAGGGACATTGGTGCATCATTTACCTGAAATCGGATGAAAAGATATATGGGAGCTATATCTAAATCTTAATTCAGTACGTTGTGCCAAATTTAGTGCAAATCGAAAGATTTATAGGGACATTGGTGCACCATTTACATAAAATCGGACGAAAATATATATAGGAGCTATATTTAAATCTGGACCGATTTTCAGGAAACTTGACACACATCATTCTAGACTTATTTCATTACGGTATGCCGAATTTCGTGCAAATCGAAAGGTATATAGGGACTTTAGTACACCATTTACATTAAATCGGCCAAATTTCAAAGCAAATATATATATGGGAGCTATATCTAAATCTGAACCGATTTTCACGAAACTTTGCACACATTATTATAGGCTTAATTCAGTACGCTGTTTGACATTGGTGCACTATTTACCTCAAATCGGATGACACTATATATGGGAGCTTTATCGAAATCTCAACCGATTTTCACGAAACTTAATACACATCACTATAGACTTAATTCAATACGCTATGTCAAATTTCGTGCAAATCGAAAGATTTGTAGGCACTTTGGTGCACCAATCTAAATCTGAACCGATTTTTCCCAATTTCAATAGGGTTCGTCCTTGGGCCGAATAAGTAACCTGTGCCAAATTTCACCCAATTCGGATTATAAATGCGGCCTGTACTTTGTTTACAATTTAACATGGACAGACAGACGGACGGACGGACGGACATGCATATATCGACTTAAAAAGTGATTCTATGCATATTCTCAAAAGCAACCATGTGTCTATCTCGTTTCCTATTGCCTGTTACAAAGACATAACACCCTGTACCACAGTGTGGTGAAGGGTATAAAAAAATAGCCTTTGGTTTTGTACAAAATATTTTTTAAGTCTTGAATTTTGTATTATATTTCAAATAATTACAAACATTTTAGAAAACTTAATATACTCAGTCCATTCTCTGTTAGTGTATAGAACAATTGAAATCTTTCTTCTCCACTGCAAACCTGGACAATTTGCAGCACTTAGAGAATTATGAATATTTTAACAACAACAACTACTAAAACAAATAGAGACATGCAAACATTATAAAATAATGTGCACAACAAAGTCATCACAACAACAACAAATGAAATGACAAATGGCATGTCCGTCCACCCCATCCATTTGGATATTAATTTAAAATGCAAGATGATTGTCGGATGAAAACTATGCCTGTTATGGGACCAGAAAACAATGTATGGGTGTAGTAGTTGCCTACACGAACAAGAGCTTAGGGGGAGAATAGACTATTTTTTAAGAAATAAATTTTATTCGCGTGGGTACTTTTTTTCGAAGGGGGGTGTTTCCAATTTGTTTGACAATTTTAGAATAAAGACGTCATTAAGATGTTTGTGTGTGCGTTTTTTTGGGGTCCATGTTGCAGGTTACCAAATAAAAATGGGGTTTCCAAAAAATAAAAACAATAAAATGCATGATGGAATCAATCGGTCCGCCCCTTCTGGTACCTCCCCCATAAAATATCAAATTATTTGATATCCGATATGGTCCATTAAATAGTCATCGTAATATTTTTACAATTCCTGTCAGTATCCAGGTCCACCATCTGTGGTACCTTCTCCCCACAATTTTATTTTTCATACAAAAACATATTTTTGGAATAAAAACGTTTTTATTGGAGCAAAAATTCCGAATAAATTATTGCAAATGATTTTATTGGAAAACTAATTAAGAATTTGTTTAAAAAAAAATTGTACGATTTTTTTTAAGGAAAGTAGTAAAGTCGAACAGGGCCGACTATATGATACCCTTCACCACTATGGGTATATTAAACAGGACCATTAACATGAAATTGGATGAACTAAAATATGTAATACTTATCTAAATGTGAATCGACTAAGATTAATCCATAAACATGTCATTCGTTTGTTACGCTATTCTATGCTAAATTTTGTACGATGAGCAAAATTTCATGTCAATCTGAAAAACATGAGGAGTTTAATGCACCATTTACCGGATGAAAATATATATCCAAATATGAACCGATTTCTTGTCACAGGTTAGGTTATACTAATTTCAGTACGTTTAGTTCCTACCAGCCATATATTGGTTCCTTGGTGCATCAATTACTTAAAATCAATCGATAATATATAAGGGAGCTATATATAAATCTGGACCGATTTTCACGAAACTTGGCAAACATCACTCTAGGCTCAATTCAGTACGCTATGCCAAATTTTGTGCAATTCGAAAGATATATAGGGACTTTGGTGTACCATTTACATAAAATCGAACGAAATTATATATGGGATCTATATCTAAATCTGGACCGATTTTCACGAAACTTGGCAAACATCACTCTAGGCTCAATTCAGTATGCTATGCCAAATTTCGTGCAATTCGAAAGATATATAGGGACTTTGGTGTACCATTTACATAAAATCGAACGAAATTATATATGGGATCTATATCTAAATCTGGACCGATTTTAACGAAACATGGCAGACGTCACTCTAGGCTCAATTCAGTACGTCATGCCAAATTTCGTACAAATCGAAAGGCATATAGGGACTTTGGTGTACCATTTACATAAAATCGGATGAAACTATATATGGAAGATATATGGGGCCTTTGGTGCAGAATTTAAATAAAATCGGACGAAACTATATATGGGAGCTATATCTAAATCTGGACCGATTTTCAGGGAACATCTTTCTAGGCTCAATTTAGTACTTCATGCCAATCTTCGTGCAAATCGGAAGGCATATAGGGTCTCTGGTGTACCATTTACATAAAATCGGACGAAACTATATATGGGAGCTATATCTAAATCTGGACCGATTTTCATGAAACTTAGCAGATGTCACTCTAGGTTCAATTCAGTACGCTACGCCAAATTTAGTGCAAATCGAAAGATATATAAAAATTTTGGTGCACCATTTACCTTAAATCGGGCAAAATTATATATGGGAGCTATATCTAAATCTGAATCGTTTTTTTCCAATTTCAATAGGGTTCGTCCTTGGGCCAAATAAATGAGCTGTGCCAAATTTCATCCAATTCGAATCAAAACTGCGATCTGTACTTTGTTTACAATTTAAAATGGACAGACACACGGACGGACATACATAAATCGACTCAGAAAGTGATTCTATGCATATTCTGAAAGGTCTATCTGGATTATTTTTGCCTGTTTCAAACATATGCAGAAATATATAATACCCTGTACCACAGTGTGGTGAAGGGTATAAAAATAGATTTGGAGGTCACCCAATTTTAATTTCCAATGCCCCATGGGAATCAAAAGAAAAGTTTAAGGTCATTAGGGGTTAACAACTTTGAAATTATGCAATTATATGTGTTTTATGATTTTTCAGTTTTCGCGTGGTACAAATTGTAAACAAATCAAAGTGATAAAACTATTTTCCATTTCGTTTTTTTTTTAGTTTTTATGAAATCCATAAATTTTAATTTATTGCTAAATACAAATTCGACGAATTTATTTAAAGCTATTTTAACAATTATTTTTTTGTATTTTTTTTAAATTCGCTGTCATCATAAATTTATTGATAGTTTTGTTTTCACTTTGCAGATGCCTGCGAGAGTGTGTGTGTAGAAAACACAGTAATTAAAAATAGATTAATACTGACACACATTTGTTTGTGAGTCTGTGTGTGTGTTTCACAAATTCGAAATGGCAAAGATGTTTGTCTGCCAGTCTATGTATGCATGTCAATCACATAAAATTAGCATCTGAGAAAAAAACAAATGGAGAAAAATATTGAAGAACGAAGAACACAACTAGGAAATATTTTGATGGCGACAAACTTTTCAAATTTTCTGTTTTTATTGTTGACAAATTTGTGTTTTTTTTGTGCAATTTTTTTATTATATTGCCGCTTTAAACAAATGAGGGGGTTGACTGCAAAGACTCATAGTATTTTTTTGTAATTTTTTTTTAATAAACTTACCTTTGTTTCACGTTGATTTATTCTAAATTTCAATTCGGATTCAATATTATTTAATATAATTGAAATGTTTTGTTCATTTTCGTCACATTCTGTAAGAGAGAAAAAGGAAGAGGAAGAAGATAATTATTATTCGAATCAATAAAAAGATACATTTGAAGTTATCGGTTTACATATTTTGTATAGTAAATATTGTCAATAAAATATTTTGTATAACATTTTTGATAAGAGATTTTCTATAACCTTCACATGAGATGGAGTGAATATAAAATTAAAGATTATTTTGCAACATCTCGAAATATTCGTTTGAAAAAGAACCGAGACAGTACCGTTCACTTGCTATGTGTTGGAGGGTTTATTCGCAATTTTTAATCGATCCAATATGGGGCCAATGGCAAATTTCTATGGCAAAAAGTCATTCAAAACCCTGTCATTGAGCCATAATGTAATGCGACTAAAATTTGACATAACTTCCACTTGCAGAACTCGTCCAATTTTAGATAATTCTATGGTCCTAGGGTTATTTTCCTACCGATGTGACTATTATTTGAGATTATTGTTTTTCTTCGCAAAAAAAAAAAATGTTCTTTATAGGTCTACATTTCGGTTAATGCTTACCTCTACCATTATTTTTTGAATGTAGACCCAGGCTGAGGGTCTATAATTTGATATGATTTCTTTCACAGAGATATTGTCATAGTCAGTGACTAAAATTTGGTAATCCGGGTTTTTGGAGGCTATGCAGAAAAATATCAATATAGATAAAGGTTTTGCCTTAACCGTCAGATAAAGGCCTTATCCCATTCTCGGAATTTTGAATATTTTTGCACAGTTCCCAACAAAGCAACTGTAATTTGACATTCCGTTTTTTGGAGGTTAACAAAATTTCAATATGACCCATACTTTTATACCGTTCATCATACTGTGGTGCAGGGTATTATGTCTTTGTGCATATGTTGGTAACAGAAAAAGGATTTATACATTTCTGTCTGCCCGTCCGTCCATGTATTTTTGGATAAAATTTGGCACGGTTCAGATTTAGATATAGCTCCGATATATAGTATCGTCCCATTTTATGCAAATGGTGCACCGAGGAGCCTATGTTTTTATGCCTACCATGAAGCATAGCATAGCGTATTGGATTGAAATCGGTTCAGGATAGCTTCCATATATTTTTCATCTGATTTCTTCTAAATGGTGTAACAAATAAATAAAATTTTTTCAAACCTAGAATAGGTGTACTGAATTTTGTAAAATATATATAATGCAAATATTGCTGCAGCATACCAATGGTTGCTTGCATATAGCTCCCATACATAATATTGCTCGATTTTATATAAATGGTACACCCAAGTTTGTCCGATTGACATGTCATTTTTCATAGGTTTCAGAATGCTATGTGTATGGGTTGTTTTAAATTTGTTCAATATCTGTGTTGTTCACACATTTAATTTCGTCCGATTCTAATTCAATGGTCCCATGTCTGTACTAACAACTGGATATTGTACATATGAGCATCTCTTGTATGTATACGTACAAAGTGCTTAGGGCATCATATTGGCCGACCGTCCGACTTTTAAATTTTCCTTACATTTTTAAAATAATTTTTTTACTGATTTGACTGAAATTTGACATTCCGGACAGGATGATAAATATTTCTGCAGAATATTTTCTATACATATTGATATATCCTCCATAAAAATTTACAGTCCCGTTTTCGATATTTAAAAACAGTGAGCGGAGCAGTATAGTCGGACGGGCCGACCATATGATACCCTACACAACTACCACGGAACTCTAACTTTTGCGTATGTTTATTTCGAGCCTGGTCAATATTTCGTGATATTTGCACCCTTTTGACCGATTAGAGATCAACAGCACATCTTCCTTACACCGACATATTTTCCGAACATCCCAATATTAAATACATCCCTTTAATTACTTGTCCAGATTCCCTTCACCGTGGGTTGTGTTGTGGTTTTCGGCTTGTGGCCTATATATTGACTCGAAAAAATTTAGTTTTCGGTCAACTTCATCCCAAAATTTTAATCTGATCATCACCGAAAATTACATGCGTTGTCCATGACCATTCCTGGATCCTCAAGGAAAATTTCAAAGCGATTTCCGACCTCTAGTATGGTAATGGTTTATTAAATAATATCTAAATACGTAAGCAGCTGTAAATATTTATGTGTAACTCCCACAGGCAATAACTCCTCTTGGATATACTATCAATTTATGAGTCCATTTGGTCCACTAAATATTGACCGATCTTTATCAAAACATGCAATGTTTAGGCCATAATTGTGGCCTCTGGAGCGCCCAGAAAATCAGACAAAAATAATGTTTTTGGTCCATTTCATCCCCTAAATATTAACCGATCTTTAAAAAAAAACAATAGGGGTCTTCACTGACCAGAACCCATCCTACATGCAAAATTTCTTGACGATTGGTCCATAACTGTGGCTTGTATCGTGTTTACAAATTATAATGGACAGATGGACGGACACACATGTCTAGATCGATTCAGCTCTCATAAAGGCCTTTACTGATATAAGGAATATTGAATGAACATCGCCGCTGAACTTATCGACAGAAATATACATAGTAACCCTCGTATCGCACCCTTATGTCATGGTTCATGGTTCACATATAAAGGTCCTTATCGTTTTAAGGAATTTTGAATCGGCTCAACTTATCGAAGTTTCTAATTGTTGACGATAAATATTCGCATATTAATTCGTACCCAACTACCACGGAACACTATCTTTCTGCGAATATATATTCCCTGCCTGGAGAATATTTCTTGACCGATGAGAGGACAACAGCTCGTCTTTCTTACTCTGATTTATATTTTCCGAATCTTGTTTTCCCGTGGTGAACATTTACGCCTTAGCATTAAAATTTTGTAATTTTGTCACAGATAGGTCTTGGACCTGCTGAATATGGCCACAATTTTGTTGTAATGTTCGACTTATAATTGTGGCCTCTAGAGTGACTAGTAAAATAGACAAAAATTAACTTATAATTCCCTAAAAAAATCATTCCATCACCATCGAAAAATATAGTTGCCGTCCTTGACTATAATTGGAACGGCATGTAAATATGACGATCAGCGTTATATTTACCCCTTCTAATGTGCTAATGGTGATACTAAACAATTTCAGAATACGTAGATCCCCTTTAAATAGTTACGTATAATACACACACATCCTAGTACAGGTGTAAATAAATACGACCTAAAATGACATTTTTGCCATTTTCCACACACAACTATATGTCCATTTGATCCTTCAAATATTGACTGATTTCTTCTTTGGCCTGATTCCTTTCTCCTTATAAAATGTCGCGATGTTCGGGTAATAATTGGGATATCATATAGTCAGACCGTTCGCTTTACTGAATATAATATAATTTCAAAATTTCGAAATGCATTGCTCTTCAAACCATTTGCCTATATGGTTTTTCCTAGTTATTAAAAAACTCCCTCCTTTGTGTCTCGTGTATTTTCACTTGAAATCTAAAAACAAACATCGTTAGTTTTTTTATTTCCCCTCATATTCGTTTCTCTGCATATCTTTTACCCACCCATTATGAAATGTGAATAATTTAACATGTTTCCTCTTTAATCACCGAGACGCATTTACACTTGTATATAAAAAATATTAATATAATACTTTCCCTTCTTTTCTCTAGCCCATACCGAACCAAGCACTACCTATAATTTACCGTACTACCGCCTCCAGCAACCAGATTATTATGATTATGCCATTTCCTTTCATTTCGAGAGAATAGCCTCTCAGCATTTTTTGCATTGCCTAGGAGGCTGTGTAAATGGAAATACACGTAACTTTGTCTGTATGTTTGTGTCTCTTTTCAAGGGCCACGCCAACTGAGGCGTGGATTTATTAAAGAATATTTTTCATTTTCAAGGGCCACGCCAACTGAGGCGTGGATTTATTAAAGAATATTTTTCAAGGGCCACGCCAACTGAGGCGTGGATTTATTAAAGAATATTTTTCAAGGGCCACGCCAACTGAGGCGTGGATTTATTAAAGAATATTTTTCAAGGGCCACGCCAACTGAGGCGTGGATTTATTAAAGAATATTTTTCAAGGGCCACGCCAACTGAGGCGTGGATTTATTAAAGAATATTTTTCATTTACCAGGGCCACGCCAACTGAGGCGTGGATTTATTAAAGAATATTTTTCAAGGGCCACGCCAACTGAGGCGTGGATTTATTAAAGAATATTTTTCAAGGGCCACGCCAACTGAGGCGTGGATTTATTAAAGAATATTTTTCAAGGGCCACGCCAACTGAGGCGTGGATTTATTAAAGAATATTTTTCAAGGGCCACGCCAACTAAAGAATATTTTTCAAGGGCCACGCCAACTGAGGCGTGGATTTATTAAAGAATATTTTTCAAGGGCCACGCCAACTGAGGCGTGGATTTATTAAAGAATATTTTTCAAGGGCCACGCCAACTGAGGCGTGGATTTATTAAAGAATATTTTTCAAGGGCCACGCCAACTGAGGCGTGGATTTATTAAAGAATATTTTTCAAGGGCCACGCCAACTGAGGCGTGGATTTATTAAAGAATATTTTTCAAGGGCCACGCCAACTGAGGCGTGGATTTATTAAAGAATATTAAAGAATATTTTTCAAGGGCCACGCCAACTGAGGCGTGGATTTATTAAAGAATATTTTTCAAGGGCCACGCCAACTGAGGCGTGGATTTATTAAAGAATATTTTTCAAGGGCCACGCCAACTGAGGCGTGGATTTATTAAAGAATATTTTTCAAGGGCCACGCCAACTGAGGCGTGGATTTATTAAAGAATATTTTTCAAGGGCCACGCCAACTGAGGCGTGGATTTATTAAAGAATATTTTTCAAGGGCCACGCCAACTGAGGCGTGGATTTATTAAAGAATATTTTTCAAGGGCCACGCCAACTGAGGCGTGGATTTATTAAAGAATATTTTTCAAGGGCCACGCCAACTGAGGCGTGGATTTATTAAAGAATATTTTTCAAGGGCCACGCCAACTGAGGCGTGGATTTATTAAAGAATATTTTTCAAGGGCCACGCCAACTGAGGCGTGGATTTATTAAAGAATATTTTTCAAGGGCCACGCCAACTGAGGCGTGGATTTATTAAAGAATATTTTTCAAGGGCCACGCCAACTGAGGCGTGGATTTATTAAAGAATATTTTTCAAGGGCCACGCCAACTGAGGCGTGGATTTATTAAAGAATATTTTTCAAGGGCCACGCCAACTGAGGCGTGGATTTATTAAAGAATATTTTTCAAGGGCCACGCCAACTGAGGCGTGGATTTATTAAAGAATATTTTTCAAGGGCCACGCCAACTGAGGCGTGGATTTATTAAAGAATATTTTTCAAGGGCCACGCCAACTGAGGCGTGGATTTATTAAAGAATATTTTTCAAGGGCCACGCCAACTGAGGCGTGGATTTATTAAAGAATATTTTTCAAGGGCCACGCCAACTGAGGCGTGGATTTATTAAAGAATATTTTTCAAGGGCCACGCCAACTGAGGCGTGGATTTATTAAAGAATATTTTTCAAGGGCCACGCCAACTGAGGCGTGGATTTATTAAAGAATATTTTTCAAGGGCCACGCCAACTGAGGCGTGGATATATTAAAGAATATTTTTCAAGGGCCACGCCAACTGAGGCGTGGATTTATTAAAGAATATTTTTCAAGGGCCACGCCAACTGAGGCGTGGATTTATTAAAGAATATTTTTCAAGGGCCACGCCAACTGAGGCGTGGATTTATTAAAGAATATTTTTCAAGGGCCACGCCAACTGAGGCGTGGATTTATTAAAGAATATTTTTCAAGGGCCACGCCAACTGAGGCGTGGATTTATTAAAGAATATTTTTCAAGGGCCACGCCAACTGAGGCGTGGATTTATTAAAGAATATTTTTCAAGGGCCACGCCAACTGAGGCGTGGATTTATTAAAGAATATTTTTCAAGGGCCACGCCAACTGAGGCGTGGATTTATTAAAGAATATTTTTCAAGGGCCACGCCAACTGAGG